TGCAGTGAGCCAGCCCAATTGAGTAGGTCTGGATGAAAACCACAAACTTGAGCTTTTTGAAGTACTGCGCTGGAGAAAATAGAGGTTCTCAGCAAATGACCTGGATTTTCAGATTAAGAAAAGGTACATATGTAAAGAATTCCTACCCAAGAGGGAACACATGTTGAACGGGGCTATCAACCACCTCAAAGTCACCAGCTGGACCGGATACTGATGGGATTTCTCTCCTAAAGTCAGGCAGTAAACACTAGCAATTTAATCTGCCCTTTCAATTGTGAACCAGAAATGCAAGGCTAAAAAGAGCATGAAAAATCATGAAACATGACATCAACAAAATATTACACTAATTAAATATTGCTGCAATCAAGACAGGAGTGAAGGTTGCTTTTCAGATTAGTATTTTAGGTGAATTCGTAGGAGCAGAATTCCTGGGTCAGATAGTACATCCATCAGTGTTTTGAGGAACATCCACACATCTTTCCAAAGTGGTTGGACCAGCTTGCAGTCCAACCAGCATGATAAGTCTAATAGTAGTTATTTTTACTTTAAATTGCTATGTCATTTTTTGAAAATAATATAATAGTTTATTTTTACATCGTTTTGTGCCTTTTTCCATCTCTTTTGTAATCCCCTTGGGCTTCCCATCACCAAATCACCCATGTGCCATCACCACAGTCCAGTGCACTTTTCCCCCGCCCCCCTGCATTTTTTTTTTAAGATTTTATTTATTTGTGCATACAGAACTGGGGTACAGGCCAGAGGCTCAGGGGTGGTGAGAGGCTTCACCAGAGACAGAGTGGGGAGCAGAACAGGCAAATCTACGAAGTACACTGCTGAGGGGAGCAGCGGGCGGGTCAGGAGAGGTCTGCCACGCCATGTGGTCACCTCCCGGGCTGGCAGGAATCGAACTCATGAGGAAGTGGCTTTAGATTCTCAGTGCTGTGCTTTAACCCGCTGCGCCACCAGGGAGGGCCCCCCCTGCATTTTTTATCCCATTCCCCCTCCACCCCTGTAAAGTGTTTCTGGTATATAGTTGTTCATTATTATTATTATTATTATTATTATTATTATTATTATTTTCTCTCCTGGTCCTTTATACTCTGTTATGAGTGAAACCATCTGGCATTTTTCCTTTTCTTTCTGGCTTATTTCACTAAGCATGATACCTTCCAACTCCATCCATGTTGCGGCAAAAGGCACGTGTTTATCTTTTTGGTTGCTGAGTAATATTCCATTGTGTATATGTACCACATCTTTTTAATCTAGTCACCTACTTTTGGGCATTTGGGTTGATTCCATGTCTTTCCTATTGTAAATAAAGCAGCAATAAACATTGGGGTGCAGGTGTCTTTGTGAATCAGTGTTTTTGTATCTTTTGGGTAGATCCCTAGGAGTGGGACTGCTGGATCTTATGGAAGCTCCATTTCTTGCAGTTTGAGAAACTTCCAAACAGTTTCCCATAGAGGTTGTACCCCATCAACAGTGCAGGAAAGTTTCTTTTTCTCCACATCCTTGCCAACATTTGTTGTAGTTGTTTTAAGATGTGCCATGCTCATTGGTGTGAGATGGTATCTCATAGTGGTTTTAATTTGCATCTCCCTTATTACAAGTGATGTTGAACATTTTTTCATATTCTTGTTGGCGATCTGCATTTCCTCTTTGGAGAAGTGTCTTTTTAGCTCTTTGCCCGTATTTTGATGGGGTTGTTTATTTTTGTTGAATTTCACCAATTCTTTGTATATCTTTGTAATCTTTTATCACTAGTTTTGTGTGAGAAAATTTTTTCCCAATCAGTGGGATGTCTGTTTGTTCTTTGTAATGCCTCTTTTGCTGTACAGAGTTCTTTAACTTGATGTAGTCCCATCTGTTTATCCTTTCCTTCACTATCATTGCATTGGGTGCTGTATCTTCAAAGATGTTACTGAGGTGGATGTCGTGCATTGTTTTGTTTCCAGGTATTTTATGATTTCCGTTCTTATGTCTAGGTCTTTAATCCACTTCGAGTTGGTTTTTGTGCATAGTGCAAGGTAGTGATCTAGTTTCATTATTTTGCATGTAGCTTCCCAGTTTTCCCAGCAGTTTTCTTTCTTCCATTGTATCTTCTTTGCTCCTTTGTCAAAGATTAGCTACCCATAAACCTGTCAGTTTATGTCTGCATTTTCTATTCAAATCCACTAGTCTGTGTGTCTGTTCTTGTTCCAGTAGCATGCAGTTTTTATTATTATGGCTTTGTAGTATAGATTGAAGTTTGGGATTGTGATGCCTCCATTCTCTTTCCTTTTAATCATGAGAGTTTAGCTATTCGAGGTCTTTTGTGGTTCCAAATGAATCTCATAAATATTTGTTCTATTTCTTTGAAGATTGTCATTGGGATAGCATTAAATCTATATGTTGTGTTACATCTTTTAAAGAAATTAAGAGAAATGTTCATAACAGGAAGCTGACCCACATGGTGCAGCAAACCTCTTCTGTCCAACCTACTGCTCTCCTCAGCAGTGCATTTCAATCTATCTGCCTGTTCTACTCCCCACTCTGTCTCTGGTGAATTCTTTCAACTCTTGCACCTTTGGCCTATACCCCAGTTATTATATACATAAGTAAATAAATCTAAAAAAAAAAAAAGGAAACTGGGCCCTCCCTGGTGGCACAACAGGTTAAAGTGCAGCACTGGGAAGCTAGCACAGCTGCTTCAGCACAGGTTCGATTCCCAGCAAGGGAGGTGACCCACACGGCGCAGCAGACCTCTCCTGTCTCACCCACTGATTCCCTCAACCATGTATTTTGTGAATCTGCCTGTTCTGCTCCCCACTCTCTCTGGGGAATCCTTTTCCTTCCCCTGCACCTCTGGGCTGCACCCCAGTTCTGTATGCAGTGAGCAGGTCAGGAAAGGTCTGCTGCACCATGTGGGTTAGCTCCCTGGCCAGGGATCGAACTCATGCTGAAGCAGCTGTGAGCTTCATAGTGCTGTGCTTCATGGGTTCAATTTTACCTTAAATTACATAATATATTTCAATATATACATAATATATGTATATTATGTATGTATATTATATATATATATATATATAATTACACAAAAGATGCCATTTCTTTGTCTTCACCCATTTGATGCTGCTATTATTTACAAGTCAACTCTAATCCTTATAGCTTATTTGGGGGTGATGCTTGTGTATATATAGCCACGTGAACCTCACCATTCCCCCTGCCCCTAAATTGGTTTATTTCATTATTTCATCTTTTCTAGCTTCTGAGCCTCCTGGGTGGGCCCTGGTAACTTGGTAACACAGGCAACAGTCACCCACACCTGTGTCCACTTGTGAGCCCTAAGGGCATGTATCTGTAACTCCACCCACCCCTGAATGTTTGATAATGATGCAAGAAGAAAGAAGACTTCTGTGTGAGTTATGATGCAAGTTAAGAGGCAGGACATTTGGAAGGAAAGAAAAATACCCAGGAAGCAAAATGGGAGCAATTCCTCATTAGGAAAATGACATTCATTTTATATGTACTTATAAAGCATGCAAATATATGGCATACATGTATTTATAAAAACATTCATATAAAATACAAATAAATATAGGTATATATTATCTGTGTATGATATTTTAGAATCATAAAGTCACATATATATATCAAAATTAAAATGTCCCCCAAATTATATAATTTTATACATACACACACACACACCCTAACACTTCAACTGAGAAAACCATGTATTTCCTCTGCCCTCCATTTGTGTATTAATATATGACACATATACATGAGGCATATAAATTTGAAAGGTATAGCTTGATAAATTTTTACATTTACATACCTTACTGTAACTACCAGTTGGATCAAGATATAAGGCAATTTTAGCACCTTACTTAAAAATAACCAAAGGGCCCTCCCTGGTGGTGCAGTGTGTTAAAAGTGCAGCACTGTGAAGCTCACCACAGCTGCTTCAGCATGAGTTCAATCTCTGGCCAGGGAGGTGACCCACATGGCACGGCAGACCTCTCCTGACCTGCCCACTGCTCCCTTCAACAGTGTACTTTGTTGATCTGCCTGTTCTGTTCCCTGCTCTGCCTCTGGTGAATCCTCTCACTGCCTCTGCACATCTGGCCTGTGCCAGGTTTTGTATACATAAATGAAATCTTAAAAAAAAAAAAGACAGAAATAACCAAAGTATTTTGCTTAGCATCAGTCAGATGGAGAAAGACAAATACCAGATGGTGTCACTTACATCTAGAATATAGAGAAACCAGACAAAGGGTCAGATGGAGCCAAAGTAAAAAACTAGCTCTTGAAAGCTGATCATGTAACTGAGGCAGTGAGAGGGGAAGGGGAAGGGCACAGAGGAGCACCTGGTGGGGAGGGAGCGCAAGGGACTATGGGTGTGCTGTTAGGGGAGCACTGTGGTAACATCACAGGAAAAGATAGGTCCTATACTGCCAAAATAGAAGTTTACCTCAGTTAAAAAGTAAATAATTCATAAAGAAATGAATAAAATAGAAAAATTTCAAAATCATATCATCATATATATTTGTTAAAAGCAGGCCAAGTCATATGAACCCACATTTGACACAATGCTAGGAGTCATCACGTTTATTGCGGGAGTGTCAGGTGGTTAAAAATTACAAATTCAACCTAAGTCAGCAGAAAGTTCTATGATGCTCTTTCTAGCTTCTTCCTTCCCTTGACTGTGAGGAGCCATGAGGAAAAGGCAGGATTCCATTGAAGTGGATGGGCGGAAGGAGTTCCCACCCTTAACCTTCCAGTTGGCATCTTTATTCCTCTCCCAACCCCAATCCCTTTCATGTTGCAATGGGGAATTGTTTCCAAGACTGGTTAAGAAAACACCAGAGTCACTGAGTCAGTCTGAGAAAACAAAACTGGTGTATACCAGCAGAGAGGACATAGGAGAGGCCACCTTCCTGCAGCCCAGACTCCACAGACATTCAGAATGTTGGTCAAAGTGAGAGGGTTTCCCTGTAAATAGACTGATATTACTAACACATTCACATAGGGTTTTTTGACATAAGGAATTTAGCACGATTAACAACAGTTTCCAGGGCGCGTTTCATGTCTCTGTTTCTCAGACTGTAGATGAAGGGGTTCAGCATGGGGGTGACAACCATATACATCACAGAGGCAATTATGTTTTTATCACTGGATGTGGATGATGAGGAGAAAAAGTAAACTTCTGTAGCAGTCCCATAGTATAAAGCCACCACAAGGAGGTGGGAACCACAGGTAGACAGGACTTTGAGGAATTTCTTAGCAGAGGGGTCTCTCAGGACAGTGGTCCAAATCCGGATGTAGGAGCCCAAGATGCCACCCAACGATATAATGACAAGCAGTCCCCCCTCAATGAGGACGACCCACTCATTGAGGGAGACGTCCGAGCAGCTCATCCTCAGGAGAGTAGTGAGGTCACAGAAGAAGTGGGGGATGGTATTGTCAGCACAGAAGGACAGGCGGGTCAGGAGCAGGGTGTGCAATAGAGAGTGGACAAAGCAGAAGAACCAGGACCCAGCGACTAAGGAGACACACAGCTCCGGCCTCATGATGGTGGTGTAGTGCAGGGGCTGACAGATGGCCACGTACCTGTCATAGGCCATCACTGCCAGAAGGAGACTGTCAAGACAAACGCACACTATGAAAAAATACATCTGTACTAAGCAGCCTGCATAGGGAATGGACTTGTGATCGGTCTGCATGTTCGTCAGCATCTTCGGGACAGTGACAGATGAGGAGACATCAGCGAAAGCCAAGTGGCTGAGGAAGAAGTACATGGGGGTGTGGAGGCGCGAGTCCAGCCTGATGAGCAGGATGATGAGCAGGTTCCCCAGCACGGTGGTCAGGTACATGCCCAGGAACAGGATGAAGAAGACCCCCCGCTGCTCTGGACGGATGGGGAGCCCCAGGAGGAGGAACTCGGATATGCTAGTCTGGTTGTCCCGCCTCATGCTAGGGAGGAAGGAAGTCTGGAATTAGCCGTAAAGACATTGCAATGCCCTTTTACATAAAGCCATGAATTCCTAACCTTGCTTCTGTTTACTGCTCACACCTGTGGATGTGTGACACAGTCAGTCAGAGGCGGCTCTGATGGTGCGTAACACCTCAAATACCCCACAAGGTTTCCTCCCATGAAACCAGAGGGCATTTTCTCTAGTCCACAAATGTCTTGTACAGGCTGGTCACAGGCTCCCTGGAACACTGAGTTCATAAAAATAAGCAGGAAATAGAGTTTACATCTTTCTACCATTCCAGGACTGAGTACCTTGGCAAAGTCACAGATGGACAGCAGGAGAGAATCCACAACTTCCCCATATAGAGAAATGAAACTTTCCAAACTGGAGTCAAATAGCTGGTTATTTCTCACAAGGTTAGAGTGAAACTGGTAGGATACAAACTGATCACAGATATTGCTTAATCCCTGTCAACAAAAGTCCACCCAGGTTCCTAAACCAACACCAAATAAATAAATATTTATCTTTAAGATACACTATGCAGACTCTATGTCTATGGTTCCGTGTGTACTTTCTGTCTATATCGTAGGCACAGTGCTAATAGGTCAATGATGTAAGGCATACTTTCATGATCAGGAACAAATGAACATTACCTAAATATGCAAAGATACATCAGTAAGTAGGGGGAAAGAAGGTCAATTCACAATATATCTCTCTGGCCAGGATCCGCCTCTGCATATATGTCACAGCCCTTGATCTACTATGTGATGTCGTTTGTCTCTCTCAACTCCAAGAGATCTCAATCATTACTGGTGCATCATACAGTTTACAAAGTGCTTTGACAAACTTTAATTTCAAACAATTTATGCATATCTAGAAGTTATATGATATAGAAGTATACACACACACACACATACGTGTGTGTGTAGTCTTCATTTCGTAGATGTGAAAAAAACCAGGACAAAGTAATGGTGACCAATGGGGTTTCAGTTCTCTGACAGTGGCTCCTAGCCTGACCCTTCTTTTGGCAGTGAAATTAGAGTTATACACATGTACACACACACTGAAGAGGATTCCTCACTGACTGTCACTCAAGCAGGGGAGCAGGATAACAAGGTCTCCTCAGGGACCATGACCTTGCTGAGGGCTCAGCCTGTCTTGGTTCCAGCCACTGGGAGGACAGTGTCTGGACCCCATGTGGGCCTGGCTGCCCGCTGACCTGGGCTGTGTCAGCCTCACTGAGAAACCAGAGGAAACAGCAGGAACAAACTGGACCAGCCAGGCCCTTGACTTGGGCAGGGCTGTGAAGAAGGCGCTGGGTTCTGAGCCGGGAAAGGTCAGGGGTGCGCTCAGGTGTGGGAGGGGCGTCAGGGCTCTGCTTGGCTTCTACTCGCCCTGCCCCAGACAGCAGGGCTGCAGGGATCTCTGTCACACTGGCAAGGCTTGGGGAAGATGGTAACATTCCTCACCTCCAATGAACTTCAGTCATGAGCCAGGGGAGGTGCCGGGTTGTCTGTTTGCTGTGGTCATTTATTCCTCAGAAATGCTCTGCATGTGGGGGTGGTTACCTCCTTTCCAGGGAGGGATCTGAGTGCCAAAGAGTAAACCGAAGGGCCAGACAGGGCCTGAGCCCAGTGCAACCTGCTGTAGGCTCTGCGGTCCCATCATCAGCATGTGACACCTGACCAGTGGGGGAGACCCGAGGGGCCCTTCTCAGTGCAGAGCATGACTGCTGTGGATGGGGCAAAGGGCAGTGAGGAAGTCAGGCAGTAAAGCCACATTGCTACCCCCTGCCCATAATTAAAACATCAAAACACGCCACACACACTAAAGCTGGGTGCCAGGTGTCGCTTGTGTCACAAACAGCCACATACACCTATTCCTTGATTTGTGACAACTTCAGGTGCCCCCTCCCCTCTGCTCGTGGAGTAATGCAGGAGCCCCTCTCCAGAGTGGGGAGCACACCTGCTGTCTTCACACTCTCAGTCTCGTTACTCACCTGTGCTGAGTAGCCAGCGATGCACATACAGCAGTTATGCAGGAGGGGGGCAGATGCTTGAGCTCAAAGGAGCCACTAAGAGACTGCAGATCCCCCTCAGCAGTGGTCCCCACTTGCCCTTGGGGTACCCCAGGTGGTGCTTGAGCTCTGGGCCAAAGAGGGGAAAAGAACCACGTTGTGCTGTTTACCTCTCTCTGTCTCTCTCATGTCCTCTCTATCTCCTCTCTGTCTTTCTCAATCATTGTCTCATCTTTCGGTCTATTATATATAAACATGTATGAACATATAAGATTCTGGCAGGAGACATATTTTTATAAGCAAATACCAATAAGGAATCCACATGGAGAAATGTATTTTTTTGTCTTAGAATTCACAGCACAGTCTGGCCTGCCCTTGCTTGCTAAGACAGTGACCTTCTAATTCAGTGAGTGTGTCCTCTGCTTCTGTTGTAAACACCAGGTAACAAACCAGGAAGCAAATCTCAGGGAGGCTATGATATCCTGACTTTCTCTGTCTTTGAACTTCAGAGGGATAGCCAGGAGGATGTCATTTTATAAACCACAAGAGGACAAAGAAATAGTCCCTAAACCCTTGGTGAAAATGCCAGTAGTCTAATTGCTTGAAATTCCTACTAGTCCTTGGGGAGGAGTGTGTTCAGAGGCCAAAGAGACTAAGCTGGGGACCACCTGGGAGGGTTCCCAGGGACAGGGCACTCTGGGCTGCCCAATGATCCAGCAGGAAGCAGCAGGACTCAAGTCATCTTTCAACACCCATGTAGCCATGATCAGACAGCACAGGATGCTGGACTCTGCCCATTATCAGTGTTGGCACTGAACATGTAAAGTAACTTCTCTTAACCTTGTTTCATAAGCTTTAAAGTGTAAATAATCATAGTCCTATCAGTATGAAGTTTTTATTAAGTTACATGCGATCATTCCTGCTAATGCACTTAAGCTCTTACCACATATTCAAAGAAAGGATGAGTCAATATATGATCATTGATGTTGATATATTATTGATACAAATGAATGATTCCATCAGTTGATTAATATTGTGAAAAATCAGTTGCAGTTCTATATGCAAACAGTAGGCTAGAAGAGAGAAAAACCAGAAAGTAATCCTATTCACAATTACAACAAAAAGAATAAAATATCAAGGCATTAAATTACAAAGGAGATGAGGGATCCATACAATGAAAACAGCAAGACATTACTAAGAGAATTGTGGATTGGGGCACAGCAGACCTCTTCTGTCCTACCCACTGTTGCTCTCAGCAGTGTGCTTCAATAAATCTGCCAGTTCTGTTCTCTGCTCTGTCTCTGATGAATTCTTTTGCTCCTGGGTTCTGCACTAACCCAAATTCTCCCACACCAAGGAGAAAATTGTGGATTGGAAGAATTATATTATTACATGGACATACCACTCAAAGAGATATATAGCTTCAACTCAATCCTGGTGGTAGAAGTGGTGTGAAAGCACAGATATGTAGGGGATTGAATCTATAACCCCTAAAACAAATGCAGTAATGTCAACCAAAGTACATAAAGAACAGATAAATAAATTCAAAATCAATTAAAGGCTTGGATATAAGAGCCCAATATAAGTGCAAAGAAGACGGCAGAGATTTTACATGATATTACAGTGATGAGACATCTTTGGGGACCTGACCCCTACTATAATGAGGGGAATAAAAGCAAAAATAAAAAAATTAAAACTTAAGAAATTAAAACATTTTATACAGAAAAAGAAAATACTAGCCAATGAAAAAGACAGTCTACCAAGTGGGAGAACACATTTACACATTGTGCAACCTGTGATTTATATCCAAGAAGTACAAGAACCCATTGAACTTGACAACAAAACCCAAAGTGACACAACTCAAAAATGGGTAGAAGATTGCAATAGATGCTCTTCCAAAGAGAATATACAGTTGGCCAACACGTATATGAAAAATGCTCATCTTCCCTTCTAATAAAGGACATGCAAATCAAAACCACAATGAGGAATTGCCTCACTCTTGTGAGAATGGACATATCGAAAAGAATGGAAACCCAATATGGTGATGATATGAAAAAGGGTCTCATCCATGGTCAGAATGCAAGTTGGTACCATCTCTACAGAAATTGTGTGCAGCTTCCTTAAGAAAATAAAACTGAAAATCCCGTCTGATCCAACAACATCTCTATCAGGTGTTTACCCACAAGATGAAATCTCTAATACAAATGACTTATGTGTCCAAGGCAGTGTGGTCCAAGATGCCCAGTCATGGATCCACCTATTTGCCCACTGACAGACTAACAGGTAAGAAACTGTAGAATATATGTGCCTCATGAATACCACACACTACAAAATCGATGAACATCAAGGTGATGACGTTAGGAGAATTAAGTCAGAATTTACTTACCTGTGGAACATAAATAACCAAAAAGCTGGAAAAATACAGAAAAAAAACCCATCTTGAAATATTGGGGGGAATTTTACTTGTTATTACAGACAACAGTGAGGGATTTTGAATGAGGTGGTTTGGTGGATGATGGTGCAATATAGGCACGTACAGAAGAGTAAAAATATACATCCACAATTACAGCAATATTCTTAAATTAAAAAGGGCCCCATCACAGCATTTTCCACATTCCGTAGTGTAATTACTCCCATTATAGCTGACTTCAGTCTATCAACAGGTCACTGTGGGTCTGGGAAGAGATGTGACCAGTCAGCTTGAAGATGAGACAACCTGCTGCAGCCCCATAACATAAAGTCCATCCACTGGGAACAGATCAGGAAGCTACATCTGTGTCTTCATAACATAACAGAAAAAATGCGTATGTGAGCACTGATGCATCTCAAAGTGGAAGCCAACACACATTTGTATTTGTATGACATATTTTTATAAGACTTTGCACATAACTTGTAAAAGATGAAAAAGAAGCAGATCAAAGAATAAGATAAAGAATGCTTAGCAAACCAGGTGACCATTCTTACCTGGTGATACAGTCACATCACTGACAGGGGAACGCATGCTCTTTTCAAGTTATATGGAGTTATCAACCCTAAACTATAATTTTAGGGGATGCATCTCATGGTGTTCGTGACTAAAATCAGAGGATTTATAGATTGTCACTTGAAGAAGTGAATCTTTCTGACAAACGTCTCTAAGGCCTGTTTTATATCTCTGTTTCTCAGGCTATAGATGAAAGGGTTCAGCATGGGGGTGACGACTGTGTACATCACAGAGGCGATCGTGTCTTTGTCACTGGAGGAAGAGGAGGAGGAGAAAAAGTAAACTCCTGCAAGGGTCCCATAGTATAAAGATACAACGAGAAGGTGGGAGCCACAGGTAGAGAAGGCTTTCAAGAGACTTTTCGCAGAAGGGACCCGCAGGACGCTCGTCCCTATACAGACATAGGAGCCCAGGATGCTACCTAAAGGCAGGGTGAAGAGCAGCCCCCCCTCAGTGAAGATGACCAACTCATTGAGGGAGACGTCTGAGCAGCTCATCTTCAGGAGAGCGGTGAGGTCACAGAAGAAGTTGGGGATGACGCTGTCAGCACAGAAGGATAGTCGGGCCAGGAGCAAGGTGTGCAACAGAGAGTGGACAAAGCAGAAGAACCAGGACCCAGCGACTAAGGAGACACACAGCTCTTGCCTCATGATGGTGTTGTAGTGCAGGGGCTGACAGATGGCCACGTACCTGTCATAGGCCATCACTGCCAGAAGGAAATTGTCAAGACAACCAAAGAACACAAAGAAATACATCTGGGAGATGCACCCCCTATAGGAGATGGAGAGTTGCTGAGTCTGCATGTTCGCCAGCATCTTTGGAACAGTGATGGAGGAAATGGAGATGTCAGAGAAGGCCAAGTGGCTGAGGAAGAAGTACATGGGGGTGTGGAGGCGCGAGTCCAGCCTGATGAGCAGGATGATGAGCAGGTTCCCCAGCACCGTGGTCAGGTACATGCCCAGGAACAGGGTGAAGAAGACCCCCTGCTGCTCGGGAACTATGGGGAGCCCCAGGAGGAGGAACTCGGATATGCTAGTCTGGTTGTCCTGCCTCATGTGCTCTTGTCTCTATTGTGAATTAGGGAAAATGAAATGTCAGTGCAGAGACTGTAGTATTTGTTAATGTCCTTTTTTTTAGTACAAAAATATTAATCTTTCTATTACTTGTCCTTATTTCTCACGATTGCAGATGCTTGGATCACTCTGCTCTGTCTGGCCAGTGTGCTATGAATCCCACCATCAACCAAATTTATTTCCAAAGAAATCAAAGGATATTTATTCTTTATTTCTTTTCTCCTTTGTGATGTTTACTCCTTATTCAACATGTGTTTATTGAACAGCAGCTTTGTCTCATATTGAGCACACAGTAATGAACATGAAATGGGAACTCTATATTCAAAGAGTTTACATGTTTGAATCAAGTCAGATTCTAACCTGAGAGCTTTACTGAGATGTGAACCTCCCATATAGGAACAGAATATTTAGGCCTTTATCACAGATTTTCAGTGTAACTGGCTGGCTCCTACCTGTTTTGAGCAATTTAAGATTCTGTGCTACCAAAAACGACTAACCCAAATTTTGAAATCTACATTAATAATTAGTACCAGACCCTGCTTTAAGTGTACATACACTTTCAAGGTAACACTGCAAATAAATGTTATCACTATACTCATAACTATGAGAAAATACAAGTGACCACTATTTTGTTCAATATTTTATTTACTATTTTTAAATGTCCTTGTTTATTTTTTCACAATAGGATTTCTCCCCTCAGCTGTGGTCACCAGTTTTCCCATGACCATAGTGCCCACAGCCCTTCACTACCTTCTACCACGCTGCCCGCCCCCACCTTCTGCTCCCCCTTCCCTCCCGGAATTAATCACGGTCTGAATGTAAAAGGTATACAATTAAGTGTGACACATGCAATGACAGCCATATGTCTGTGACCAGAATCCACCTACACAGAAATTACCTCCTTGCTAGTTAGAATACCCAGAGAAGCTGAGCCATGTCAGTACTTTTGTCCAAAATGGCCTTCTATATCCTGCCCTACTTCCTGCCTTGCCCTAGATGGCAATGAAATAGGAATCTCCATGACATAAACAATGGTTTGGGGAAAGATAGTGAGAATCCTTATCTCTACTGAGCACCAATTATGTGCCAGGCATGGTGCTAAGAAATCTGTGTGCATTGCCTCATTTACTCCTCAAAATAGCATTGTGATGTAGGGATAGTCACCCACCTCCCCCCCTCCCACCCCGCACCAGTGAGGAATCTGAGTATCAGAGAGCAGACATCTCAGGACTTGATGAAGATTGGGCCCAGTGGGACCTGCAGGTGCCAAGATCACATCTATAAGTATGTGACCCCTGCCAAGTGGTGAGGATGAGAGCTACCTGCGGAATCATCACCTCTGTTGGAGGACAGTCAATGAAATACTGGAGCTCAGGGGCCTCCCTGCTAGTGCAGGGGTTAAAGTGTCAATGCTATCAGGCTATCACCTGCTACTGCAGCATGAGTTTGATCCCCAGCCAGGGAGCAAACCCATGTGTCACAGCAGACCTCACCTTCTCCTCTCAGCAATGTATTTCAACAGATCTGCTCTGAGCTCCCCACTTTGTCTCTGGTAAATCCTCTCACCCTCCCCCCACCACACCTTTGACCTTTTGACCCAGTTCTTATATGCATAGAAAAATATAAATAAATCTTAAAAAAAATAAATACTAGAGTTCACAAGGGCCAACGAGAAGCCTCCACAACATGCACACAAAGCTCACAAGCACATATGCATACACACTTCAATTGCTGATTCATGTTTCTTGTTGCCTGTGACCTACAGTGTGATAAAGAAAAGACAGTATACTGTTGCCCAAAGAATCAAAAAGAAAAACTCAGAAATAATGTACAAGATTAAACATAGCACAAAATAGCCCCATATAAACTTCTGTAGTCTTAAGACAAAACACTTAGCAACACATAAAAATCACATAGCAGAGGTATTTACACTCTGAATGTAAACACACACGTGCAAGCATAGCTATGACACAACAAAAAGCAGTCACAAGAAATCATACCAGAAACTCATCCTTGCAATCAAAGAACATACAAGGCCACACATATACAGCCTCTTTGAAAATGAGAGATATATAGGGAAAGCAAATAAGGAATCGGAGAAAGACATAACACCAATTAAAAACAATAATACAACAAAAATAATCAGCCAGCTATAAATCAGAGGCATTCTGCAGGGGAGGGGAATGGGAGCGGGTACAAAATGCGGATGGGAAGAGCAGAGGGACTAAGGTGACAGTGCACGGGTGAACTGGGGGTGGGAATGCTACGGGGACTGCTACACCTGATGCAAATAAATACACACAAATAAAGAAACAAAATATTAAAAAAGAATTATAATAAAGTTGTGATTTAAAATTTAATAAAAGAAAGAAAAGGGGCCCTCCCTGGTGGCGCAGCAGGTTAAAGCACAGCCCTAAGAAGCTTAAGCCACTTCTGCATGAGTTCGATCCCCGCCTGCCCCGAAGGTGATCCACATGGCGCGGCAGACCTCTCCTGACCCGCCTGCTGCTCCCCTCAGCAGTGTGCTTCATCAATCTGCCTATTCTGCTCCCCGCTTTGTCTCTGGTGAATTCTCTCACCCTCCGCATCTCTGGCCTGTACCCCAGTTTCTGTATGAATAAATAAATAAATCTTTTTAAAAAAGAAAGAAAAAATGAGAGATGTCCCAGCCTCCACTGGCCTCACTCAGTATGGGGGAAGGATGTCAGTAAGCGAGGGGTGCAAGTCCCTTTCATTCACAGGAACAAGCGCAGAAGTACTACCTATGAATGAAACAAAGACACACACACACACACACACACAACACACTTGAGACATCGGGGAAGACATGCAAATGTAACTCAAAGTCAAATGTAAGATCACACAAGCCCACATCACTGAATAGATCTGAAGACCGCTCACCTGTTGTTGGTCATGGGCAAATTTTGCAAATTTCTACACCAGAGTGGCAAGCACATCCGTGTCTCTTAAGTCTCTACACCTGAACTTTACCATTTTGTTCGAGGATGAAATGTGGGAGTTATAGGAGAGTGGGATACATATTTGAATCAAAGGGACTGGTTAAGAAACCCCCAAATCATACTTAAAGATGCCCTAACTTACCTTACGGGACCTTTATAGAGTTATATGTTCTGGGTAATCACATTAAAAAGATTAAAACTGTGAGTCAATTCTAAATCACTTGCCCAAAGGACATAGATACACAAATAAAAAACCCATGAAGAAAACAGCTCATACCCACAACAAACAACGCAGATCGCGTGGAATGCACACATGGTCTTCTAGGTCCTGAGCACACCATGCTTTCCTAGAGCTCCCAGCTCACGCCTACCTGTTCCACTCCTTGGTAGCTCAAGAACCTTCTAATCCTGTATTGGACACCTTGGTTTCTGTGACACACCACGCACAACAACAAAAAAACCACAAAGAAGACAATCAATGAAATATTGGAAGCACACTGCCTCTACTTTCTGTGTCTGTCCTGGTGTACCAGAGAGTAGGCAGGAGGAAGCCATTTTTACAAACCTCCGAGAGGATTTATAAAACAATCCCTAAGCTCCCAGTTAGGGAGACTAATTGCCTCGAACTCCTATCAGACCTTGGGGAAGAGCCTGTGCAGAAGCTGGTGGGATTGAGCTGCTTAACCACCTGAGAGGGTCCCGGGTAGCAGGGCCAGTGCCTGGGCTGATCAGAGCTCCCCCGAGAAGGCTTAGTCACCTCCCAGCACCCACATTACTAATGTGCTGGGGTAGCCTCTCCCAAAGCACTCAGGAATAGAAAGTCTGATTCTGCAAACCTTCATGCTACTTCCCTTTGCCAGGAGGGCACACATTTAGCTTCAACCTCACATCTGCAAGGCTTCTCTACACTGGGAGAGACCTTGGGGCACAGAGGGATGCCTTTTCTAAGAGACTGCAGAGCGGAGAGACTGGGTTCTTAGGCTCAGAATTCAGAGAAAATCAAATCTGGGCTATGCCAGTTATTACTTGTTGACCCTGATAGTATCCTCTTAATCTTGTCTGGTCAGCTAAAGTGCAGTAGTTCTTGTATGGCCATCACCAAGTTACTGAGATTAAATGGGATGATTTGTGCCAAAGCACATAATAAACATAGTTCTCTTAATCATTATATTGTATCTTCTCTAAAAAGATAATTATATTTAGAATCATTGACATTAACATAAGATTATTATAGAACAAATGGATGAACCGATTTTTAATTCTCCCGATCTTAGTAAGAACCAATTCCCAGAAAGACCTAAGTCACTCTGATGAACCACAAAATTACATGATTCAAATTTCAGTACATTAGTCAATCCAGTTTCACTCTTACTTTGTTTAACATGTATTAATTGACATCTCCACTGACTGGATGACTGAAAATTTTTCGTTTCTAGAAATCCTTTAGTTAGAAAAGAAGAAAAGTGGAAGAATTTCTGATAGAATTGGTGAGGTTTGCTGAAAACTATCTAATGCAGCATCCAAAAAGTCAAGCAAGATGAGAAGCTTAAGGGTGGGCAGTAGCTACAGTTCACATCACATTTTATGTGTCCCATGTTGAGTATGGAGGGTGGTAGCCGGTGACATACTATAGACATATGATGTAAAAGGGAAAGTGAGTTTAAAAGGGAAAGTGATTGAAGTACAATTGCTGCTACAACTGATCCCAAGATGGTAATTGAAATCCATCATTGCCTTCCCCTCTTATGCACACTGTTCCCCTTTCTCTTCCTCAACATGATTGCTGGTCAAGATGCCTGCTGGGTCTCTGAAGTGTCAGAGTTCTTGATTGCCCTTCTGTATTTACTAATCATAAGACAGAGATTCAATTGCCTGCCTAATGTTATCACTTATCAATTAAGCACTACTATTAAATAGTTCTTGTGGTCAAATACTCCTGAATTTAAAAATAGCTCCTTTTGTTGCCCTAAAAGAAAATCTAAGATTTCAGTATGAAAACCTAAGATTTCGGGCAGCTGTCATCTCTACTATCAGGGGGCCACTCTTTGTTCCCTGCAAAGTACATCCCTCCAAATCAAAGACAGAGTCTTCATAGATGGGAAATACCCATGGAATGGGAGACTCATGGGGGCAGATCATAGAACTCAAAGTGGCCACAAAACTATAAAGTTCCATAAATATGAAAAGGGAGATAAACCCAGGTGATCTTGGATATGACTGTGAAATTTTAGACATAACATCCATAGCACCATGCATTAAAAAAAATAGATTTTGTAAAATTAAAACTTTCTGCTCTGCAAAGGAACATATCAAGAAAGTGAGAAGCAAGACACAAATGTGGAGAAAATACTTGAAAAAAATATATATGATAGAATATACAATGTACATTTAAAACTCAGCAATCAGAAAGCTATTTGATCAAGAAATAAGAGAGATCTTAATAGACTTTTCACCATAGAAGGTCTGCAGATGACGAAACAGTGCATGAAAATATGTTCAACATTATAGCTATCAAGAAAATACGGATTAAAACACTGAGATACTATATATACCTACTAGAGTAACCAACACCTAAAACCAAATTCTGATGAGTATGTGAAGCAACAGAGACTGCCAGATCCTGCTAGTTAACAGTGAATGAGTTAATCAACACTGAATCAAATACTTAAAAGTAAGAGTGAACACTACAAAACCCCAGAATATGAGAAAAGGGAGAAAATGCTTCCTTGGGCTCAACCAAGATGGATTAGATGATCTGTAAAGAATAAATGATAGATTGGACTTCACTGAAGTTCAAGATATTTGCTCTGAGAGAGACACCATTAAATATGAAAAGAAAGCCACACGTTAAGAAAACAATGCTTGAATTATATACATGTTTTGTTGGTGGACAGCCAACAAATTCCCTGTTCACCGTCACACTGGCGTCACTCTTCATTAGTTCTTAGGTTTCCTTGTGGACTTCTTAGGATTTTCCATATACACAATCATCTAGTCTGTGGGTATACTTTTACTTCCTTTCCAATCTGGGTAACTATTTAAATCTTATTGCACCAACAAGCACCTGAAATGCAATGTTCAGTGAACAGAAAAACTTGTTCTGTTGTTTATTTTAGGAGAACAACCTTCCACCTCTATCTGTTCTCTAGTGAACTAGAAAGTTCTTGGGTGATGCCCAACAGGTTGAAAAAGTGTCTTCTGCCTCCTAATTTGTTGATAATTTTAAAAAACAAACATATATCAAGTTTTGTTAATTGTTTTGTCTATTTAGTGAGATGATCACGTGTTGTTGTTTCTTATTGCATTAATATAGAATATTAATTAACATTCAATATTAAGCCAACCTTCCAGCCCTAGAACAAATCCTTCTTGCTTATTGTAAATAATCCTTTTATATATGACAGGATGCCATCTAGTACTATTTTATTGAAGATTTTGTTTCTATACTCATATAGTAAATTTGTGTCATACTCCTTTCCTATGATTTTGTATGTCTTTGGTACCTGATCTCATAGAATGAGTTGTGAATTCTACATTTCTTCTGATTTCTGTGGAAGAATTTATGAAGGCCTAGTATTTCTTCTTTAAATGTATAGTTGAATTTCTCTAGTGACTCTGTGTTCAAGCTTTAATTTTTTGGAAAGTTTAAATTATTAATTTAGTTTCTTGTAAGGATGTTCTATTTATACTCATTTTTTTTATTTGTTAATGTTTCTTTTTTTTCAGGAGTGTGTTCATTTTATCCAAAGATCAAATTAGTTGGTATATATGAAGTTACTTACAGTAGTTCCTTAATAATATATACAATTTCTATAATAACAGTGGTGTCATTGCTTTTTTAAAAAAATTTATTTATTTATGCTTACAGAATTGGGGTACAGGCCAGAGGTGTGGTGGGTGAGAGATTCACCAGAGACTGAGTGGAGAGCAGAACAGGCCACTGATGAAGTACACTGTTGAGGGGAGTAGTGGGCGGGTCAGGAGAGGTCTGCCATGCCATGTGGGTCAGCTCCCTGGCCAGGTACTGAAATCATGCTGCAGTGGCTTTGGAGAGCTTCATGATGCATTGCTTTAACCCACTGTGCCACCAGGGAGAGCCCTGTGCCATTGCTTTTTAACACATCATCTTGGTATTTTGACCTTGTGTTTTTTCGTAGCCTAATTACTTACCAAATTTGTTGTTTTTTAGGGTTAACTTTGTATTTACTAATTTTCTTTATTTTTTCTTCAACATTTTCCTTTTAATCGACATCTTCATTGAGATACAATTTACACACGCTATAATTAACCAGTGTTCAATCCATGATTTTCAGTTAAACTAGTCTTGTCTCCTGCTCTTCAGGTCTCTCAAGGGAGTAGGGGGCCCTGGAGACTCGGGGGCCAGTGGAGCGAGCACAGTCCTAGAGGTTGGGGGTCCCTGCGGGGTCTCCACGGACTGGCACTGCCCTGAGTGGGTCATTCTGGGATGTGGGGAGAGGCTCGTTCCATTGCTGGGCTCTGCAGGGGTGAGGGTGTTCACAGCCTCCTCTCTTCTTCCCGAGAGGACAGCTTGACCCTGACATCAGGGACACCTCCTCTTTGGGGCGCCTGAGTTTAGTCCCTTGGGCCCCTACGCAGATCATCTCAGGAGGAAGGCAAGAAATTGGGCAATTAGCTCTGTGGGTTCCCCTCTAACAAGAGGCTTGAGGTGTGTCCCCTGGGTGTGGTTTGTGTTGGTAAATGTAGATCCTCCTGCTCACTGTGTGGTGCTTGGGAACAGACATGGAAGGTGCAAAGACTTTAAACCGTGGAGGCGTAAGAGCTGAGGCTCCAGCAGCCAGGATGAGCGAGAGTGTCACAGATACAGCAAGATGGGGCTCATCATGCGGCCAAGATGAGTTTAGTAAGAAGAGAGGGAGAGCTGGGTTACACAGCTTGTATAGCCAATGTGTCAGTGGGTACCTGACATACACACCACCCTATTAGGTTCATGGAGCCGATCAGTTGCAACTAGAAAGAACTGAAGTTGAGCTTTCGGTGTCTCTCCTGCACGAGCTGCACATCAGGCCCTCGGTGGGCCCGGGGTGTCCCACCGCCGTGTGGACAGGGCACACAGGAGAGCTCCCGTCACCCGAGAGCCAGTCCATGCTGACGAGGACCAGGGGCTGGACCCGCCGGCCTTCCCCGTGCCTGTGCTGCCGAGACCCTGCCGCCCCGCTTTGTGGTAACTTGTGTATTTTTTTTTAAAGATTTATTTATTTGTGCATACAGAACTGGGGTACAGGCCAGAAGCTCAGGGGCGGCGAGAGGCTTCACCAGAGACAGAGTGGGGAGCAGAACAGGCAGATGGACGAAGTACACTGCTGAGGGGAGCAGCGGGCGGGTCAGGAGAGGTCTGCCGCGCCATGTGGTCACCTCCGGGGCAGGCGGGAATTGAACTCATGCGGAAGCGGCTTTAGATTCTCAGTGCTGTGCTTTAACCCGCTGCGCCACCAGGGAGGGCCAACTTGTATATTTTTGACGGGATCGTCAGTGTGCATAGTAGCGCTTGCTCGGCTATGTATGGCTTGTAGTTGTCTGGCCAACTAGACGTGGTGATTTTGTGTTTTTCCAAACAAATTTATTATAGTATAATTAATATTCAAAAAAGAAAACCTATTGAATAGATACAGATTGATGATTTTGGATACATTCAGACACTTGTCACCACAAGTAAGCAGGAGACACAGCCACACCTGCAAAACTTTCTCTTGTTGTTTGCAGTACTGCTTAACATGAAATCACTAAATTATATTTTAATACGCTTATAATCACGACACTATGAGAATACATGCTGAAAAATGGAATCCCTGGAGGAAGGACTATGGCTTATTTACTACTCTCTCTCTAGTGCCTAAATAAGTATCTATACTTGTTAAAAAAGATACAGTAACCCTGGTTGACATCGAGGGGCTTGAGGTTACATATTTGTCCACATGACAGCATCAGTGTCCAGGAAAACCCGCTGCCCAGCTCTCACCAGACTGGATGAGGCCCCGGCAGGTGACAGCATCGTGGTGTGTCTGCACAGACTCAGTCACTCTCACGGTGTGTGACCACCTGTCCCTACTACGTCACTGTTTCTAAGGTCCCGAGTTTCCCACTTCCTCTATCCCAGAAGACAGCAAAGCAGCATGAGGCAGGAGAACCAGAGTGGCGTGTCCGAGTTCCTCCTCCTGGGACTCCCCATCCTTCCCGAGCAGGAGGGGGTCTTTTTTGCCCTGTTCCTGGGCATGTACCTGACCACGGTGCTGGGGAACCTGCTCATCATCCTGCTCATCAGGTTGGACTCGCGCCTCCACACCCCCATGTACTTCTTCCTGAGCCACTTGGCTCTTGCTGACGTTTCCTTCTCATCCGTCACTGTACCAAAGATGCTGTGGAACATGCAGACTCTGGACCTGTCAATCTCCTATGCAGGGTGTATCTCACAGGTGTATTTTTATTTGGTGTTTGGGTGTGTGGACAATCTCCTTCTGGCAGTGATGTCCTATGACAGATACGTGGCCATCTGTCACCCTCTTCACTACACCACGATGATGAGGGAGGAGCTGTGCCTGCTGCTGGTGGTGGGTTCCTGGGTCATGTCCTGTGGCAGCTCATTGTCCCACACTGTCCTCCTGACTGAGCTGTCATTTTGTGCTGACAACATCATCCACCACTTTTTCTGTAGTCTCTCTGTGCTACTCAAGCTGTCCTGCTCAAATACTTCTGTCAATGAGCTGGTCATATTTACTCAAGGGACTGTGTTTGTTTTCATTCCATTGAGTGGCATCCTGATCTCTTATGGCTACATTGGGGCTACTGTCCTGAGGGTCCCCTCTACCAGAGGCATCACCAAAGTCTTCTCCACCTGTGGCTCCCACCTCTCTGTGGTGTGTCTCTTCTATGGAACAATCATGGCAGTCTACTTTTCTCCCTCCTCAAGCAATTCCATTGACAAAGACATGATCGCCTCCCTGATGTACACTGTGGTGACCCCCATGCTCAACCCCTTCATCTACAGCCTACGGAACAGAGACATCAAATTGGCTGTGAGGGTCCTTTGCCGAAAAGAGGTCCCTGTAGCCAGGTGAAGATCATCAAGTCATGCTCTTCTTTCACCAATAACCTTGTCAAGATCTGCCCCTTACCTTGAGTGCTGACTCCCCATGTCCCAGCACCGCCAGCCGCTCTTGAAAGGGGGGTCATGCCATTAGCTCCAGTCCCTTTCCCCTTCGTCATATTTATTGGCCATCTACTCATCCACAACCCTAACTACAGCATTGCCCATAACACACATTGATTCTTTGGTTTTCAAACTCCTGAGCTCCTGACCTTGGTGGTGGGGCTGAGTGTATGTGACGGCTGCACTGTTGTCTGTTCCTGAGGGAGATGAGTCCTTGTTAGAGAACAAAGCATATCAACCACTTCTCTGAAAATAAATGATACCAGGTTTCAGGCTTCCATGTGAAAGAGAAAATTTGGATTTTTTATGGCAAAATAGCCTACATCTATCTGTCTGATGCAAGTCTGGCAAAATCGTGTTGCCTTGTTCCCAGACTGAAAATATCCACTTCTAATAAATGCACAAATTTGTAATTCATGCCTACTAAACTACTGACTGCATGATCACTATGTGGCAGATGGTCTTCTAGGTTCTCAAGAAACAAGAGAAAAGATGAAATAGTTTTCTCCTAAAAATTTCCTGTGTGTTATTTTAGGAGAATTCCACATGTTGATAGGTTATGTTTTCATTTACTTCATTTCTAATAATTTCTAATTTCCTCATTGGCTCATGGGTTATTTGTATTATTTTGTCTCCCAATACTTAGTCCTTTTCTAGGTATTTCTATATTATCAATGTCTAATTTAGGTGCATTGTGCTTAGAAAGCCTACATTATGTGATTTAAATACTATTAAATGTATTGAGATCTGCTTTATAACTAAATATGTTTATAATAATAATAATTAAATAAATTCATTTCTTTCTTACCACTCCTGGTTCACTGCTATCATTCATTTTACTGTACAGAGCATAAATAAGCATAAATATATACAGTAATACATAAAATATGTACATAAGTATAATTGAATCACTGATAATATTATATTTAGGAATATGTACATAAGTATAATTGAATCACTGATAACATTATATTTAGGACAAGTTATCTTTTAGGACACAGAAGAATAAAAATAAATAAGTGCTTTAGATACCTTTTCTTATCGTCATGCAAAGCTCCTTTTTTATGTAGACTGAGATGCTGAACTGCATTTCCTTCCTTACCTCTAAAGAGCTTTTAGCATTTCTTGGAAGGCAGATCTACTGGTAACAAATTACTTCCATTTTTGTGTGTCTGAGAAGGTGTCTATCCCCCTTTCACTGCTGAAGAAAAAGTTTTCAGGGTACAAACCCATGACTCCCAGGTCCCTAACATGCAACACCACAATCCGAAGGGTACATGCATTTGAAAAGCGGCTGCTCTTCAGGGGTCACTGTGCTCTGTAAATGTCATTGACAGACTTCATAGCTTAACTCAGTATTCAAATTTTCTGTGTCTAACAATGTTCTACCTTCTTTTTCTCTCAAGTATGTAGGGGAGTATTGCACTGCAGGTGACAACTGTGATGGTAAATTTATCTATTATCTTCAAATTCGATCAGTTTTTGGTTTAAGTACCTGAAACTCTATTATTAAGTGCACACATATTTAGGACTATTTTTACTTGTTCATGAATACAAATATGTCAGCAGTCCAAGAAACATAAGTGGGAGGCTGGGGACACTTTTTGAAGGAAGTAATTTTCTCCCAGCCCAACCATCTCACCTTTGGAAAACTACTTGAAGGCCCATGTTTACTGCTGCCCAACCCCCCTTCCCTGCTTCTAGTCACCTGTTCTTACTGCTCATCCTATTTGCTCCCCCTGAACCCAAACAGTTCATTCAAGCTTTCAGGCCCAGGCCCAGAGAAGCCAATAGAGATTTCTGCAACTACCTCTGCTCTTTGAACCAACTGCTTTTTGCTTTAAGGTTTTTTGTGTCCTTTTGTGTTTCTATAAGCCTTTGGATCTGGCACACACAGAAGTGCCATGAGCTCCAGCCAATGGGGTTGTTTATTGCACAGGCTCACCAGTCCTCTGCAAAGCTTTGCCCTCAGCATGTAGGAGTGGGAAGACAGGGGATGAGGCTGTGATTGGGCTAAAGATGACCGTGGGCCAACTGGGGTCACATTCAAAGCTCCCTGGAGATTTGTGGGTTAACTTTCCAGTGGAGTCCATGAAGTTGTTAGTAAGATGGCAAAACTGTCCATTGCCTTCCTTCAGCAGCTTTTAGATTTCTTTTCAGAAAAGATGGCTCTGTCAGATGAAAATCACCTGGTTGTGCTCTTATTTCACCAGTGACCCATCAAGATGGCTCCTTGATGATGTGTGTTGATCATCCAGCTCTACCACCTTTGTGACCAAACTTTAGTGGAAAATTGTTGTTGAGTCCCATTACTTTCCCTTTTGTCATATCTATTATCCATTTATTCCTCCATCACCCTAAATATGCCACTCTCCACAACACATTCAGTTTTGTAGTTTCCAAAGCACTGTTCTCCTTATTACTCAGAGGACTGGTTGCGTTGTTGTCTTAACTTTTTGAAGCAAGATGGATCATTTTCTGAGATAACAAAACACACCAATGAGGTGCATCAAGAGGATAATGTGACTCCATATTTTGTGCTTCTTTTTAAAAGAGAAAAGTTGGATTTTTTTTTTGTGGTGAGAACATCTTACATCTGTGAGTTAGATGTAAGTCTGACAGTAATCTTGTTTCCACAGGAAGAGAATCCGGTTGGATAGATAAAAACAAAATACATGGATTCATGATTCAGGCAGACAAAAGTACACTGATGATCATTCTGGATCAGGCTACTTCTAAGTTCTGGGATTACAGGGCAAGAGAAAGAACCCCAATCCATCCTCCTGTGAAGCACTAACCTCTTGCCACCAGAAACTTTGCTTATTTCCTTCACTGTCATTGTTTCTTTTCCATCAGAGTATAACATCTCCAGGGAATGTGCTCTTGGTTGGGAAATAAATTCGTTAATGCTAAGTTCCTTGGCAGATAAAATCTGCTATAACTACAGGGAGCAGAAAAGGGGTGGGGGCAATGTACTACAGGTGGACGTACAATTTAACACTGTGTGAGCATTCCAGTGCTGTAATGTAACACTGTGTGATCCTACTCACTGGGAAGGTAACACCCCAGCAGAGATATTAGCAAGGACACATAAGACAACTGTGGGATACCTGGGGAAAGGTGTTTCAAGTAGGAAGGCCAGTGTTAGAAATGGTTGAGGCAAGATGGTGACTGGCTTATTCTGAGTATATTAACCTTCGTAACTTACCTAGTCTAATGTGGAGGCAGCAGAGGTGATCTGCTCTGAGATATCAGAGGAGCAAGTGTGTAGGGCACCAAAGATCACAGGAGGTGTAGCAATGAAATTTCTGAGAGAAACAGTAGTAAGACGTGTGTGTATGATGGGTGAGATTATTTTTTGAGGTGGTCTAGAAATATTTTTTATTGTTTTTTTTTAAAGTTTATTTATTTGGGCCCTACCTGGTGGCGCAGCAGGTTAAAGCACTGCACTGAGAAGCTAAAGCCACTTCCGCATGAGTTCGACCCCCGCCCGCCCCGGACGTGACCACGTGGCGCGGCAGACCTCTCCTGACCCAGCCGCTGCTCCCCTCAGCAGTGTACTGCATCGATCTGCCTGTTCTGCTCCCCACTCTGTCCCTGGTGAATCCTCTCACCCTCCACATCTCTGGCCTGTACCCCAGTTCTGTATGAATAAATAAATAAATCATTAAAAAAAGATTTATTTATTTGTGCATACAGAACTGGGGTACAGGCCAGAGGTACAAGTTGGGTAGTAAGAGGATTCATCAGACACAGAGTGGGGAGCAGAACAGGCAGATCGACGAAGTACACTGCTGAGGGGAGCAGCAGGTGGGTCAGGAGAGGTTTGTAGGGCCATGTGGTCACCTCCGGGGCGGGCGGGGATCGAACTCATGTGGAAGTGGCTTTAGCTTCTCAGTGTTGTGCTTTAACCCACTGCGCCACCAGGGAGGGCCTGTATTATTTTTTATTGCAGCTTCACACAGCCATACACAGCATTTATAATTTAGAGGTATAGTTTCACACTCATTAGATATACGTTAATACACCCTGCCCACCACCAAGGAACATATAGTCCTCCACCAAAGTCCACTAGACTCCCTCCACCCTTTGTTCTCAACTCTTTCTCTCCCTCTCTGGTAACCTTTATTTAATATTCAGATTTCTAAGGCTTGTTTGCATTAATTTGGTCTGCCCCTTTGTTTTTTTCCTCAATATTTCACATAAGAGTGAAGTCATTCTGTATGTCTTTCTCCATCTGATTTGTTTTGCTTAGCATACCCCCCTCAAATTCCATCCATGTTGCCACAAATGGCAAGATTTCATCTTTTGTTTAAACAGCTGAGCAGTGTTCTACTGTGTCTCTAGAGCATGTCTAATCCACTTACCTGATGTTGGGCACTTAGGTCATTTCCATGGCTTGGCTTTTGTAAACAGTGCTTCTGTGAGCACAGGTGTGCATAAGTGTTTGTATATAAAGTTACCCTTTGGGATTTTCTTGTGTATGTGTCCTGTCACCTTGAAAGAGTTCTTATCATCCTGGCTGTCAGTTCTAACCCCCATCACCACACCTCCATATACTTTGTTTTGGCCAACCCGTATTTTGTTGGGTTTTGATGGGGTTTAACATCCTCCAAAGTTCCCAAGATGCTGCTAAATATACAGTCCCAGTGTCTGTTGTTCATCTCCATCCATCTTCTGTGCTGCCTTGAGGCATCCCAATAACACACTTCCAGTTCTAAATTAAAACTTCCATTCCATGAAGGTCATTCATTTCAAGTAGGGTTAATATATGCTGATGTTAAAATAATTACCAATGAAGTACATACTATTTCTAAAACTTGCATCTCTGTAGTGTAATGTGATTAGGATGTGCTTTTAACTGGGATCAGTGAGTAGGGTGGTGTATGATGATAACAAGGAATAAAA